CTGAAAATAATTACTTTAAGTCACTTTGTTTGGACTTATAAAGGAGGTAGAATCTAAAATATGGTTACTTGAGGTCTTGCTAGCCTATAGACTCAGCAAGATACATCAGAGAACAGAAGGGGTAATATAGCCATTGAAATGAAATCTTACCGCTTCTTGTTACCCTCTTAAAGTTGGGATCAGCAAGGGCATCATTTTGGGTGCATGGGGGGGCAGCAGCCATACACTCCGGGATGCTGCTAAAGACAGTGAGTGCAAGTGCTTGCATTCCATGCATGCCTCTCACACCTGGCTGATGAACTCCCTTCATCAGCCAGGTGTGAGAGGCATGCATGGAATGCAAGCACTTGCACTCACTGTCTTAGCATCTGGGGAACTGGATGACAAGCAAGCCGTGTCCCAGAGTGCACACCTGCTGCCCTCCACACACCCAAAATGGCACCCTTGGAGACCAGGGACAGTCCTTTCCACATGGCTGGACTGGGCATCAGTTGGTTACACTTAAGATTCTGCACTTTCTTATGTTGGGTTCAGTCCATTCTCTTCATCACATTGTGACTTCAGTTCATATACCCTAGTGGGCTTGTAGGAGGGAGCCAACCACGTATTCCTATTGGACCCATGTCAAGTGAGTGCTTAGTTTTAGCTCTTTCAGTTTCTTTGCTGCTTTCATTGGTATCCAGTAGATGGCATCCGTGTATAATAAATGTCTTCTATCCTTTTCTTCTGAGCAGCTTTTTGAATTTAATTCATTTCAAGGATTGAATATTATTATTAGCTCCTAATATCAACTGGGATCTCCCCTTGTACGCAATATCCCTTAAAAGCCCAAAGTTATACCCTGGTTTATATATGTTAACATTTATTCTTCCTTTTGCCGAACAATTCCTATTACTTCTAGAGAGCAACAATCATTTCCAATGAAAGCAAAGAAAATCAATATAATCTTCTAAATTTGGAGGACATGTTGTATATAGTCTTTGATTATACCTAAGCATTTCACATTATTTAGAATTTACATTAGAACAAGAGATGTTTTCCACACACAGAAAGAGTTCAGAAGGCAAACAAAGGTGTAGTTTCTAATCTGGGGTGGAAAACAGATTATCCCTGGTGTATTTGATTTGTAAGGAAAATTATGTATAGTCTACAATATGGGTGAAAACGTGGTTTGGATTGTTTGGAGTAACAGGCAGTTTGAAAGTAAAATTCGGCAATCTTACAACCACATTTCCAGAGAGACACGGTGTCCTTTGTTGGTGAGAGAGACAAGTTCTGTGTAGCTCAAAAGCTTGCTTTTCTGGCCAACAGAAGTTGATCCAATAAAAGATTTCCCCTCACCCACCTTTTATCTCACTAATGTCCTGGAACCAACAGGGCTACAGCAACACTAGGAACCACATTTCTAGTTTGCTTAACCTGCAGCTCTCCCACCCATTGCTTGATCCAATCAATGTGTAATGGGGCCATTTTTGCATGGAAAAGCAGTGTGCGCCCTTGCTTGGTAATTTGAAGTTCTTTTTAGCTAGGCTGGAAGAAAGAGAAAGTCCAGAATGGGTAGGAATGGTATCCCTAGCCTCTGTTTGTCAGGGACTGGAAATGGGTGACAGGAGAGGGATCTCTTGATGATTGCCTGTTTCTGTTCCCTCCCTTTGGGGCATTGGCCACTGTCGGCAAACAGGATACTGGGCTAGATGGACCTTTGGTCTGACCCTGTATGGCCATTCTTATGTTCTCTCCCTATTCAGGTTCCAAGAAATTCTTGCCTAGGCTATCATCAGTATTCTCTTTTAGCCATTCAAGTTTCTATTCTTGAGGAGGGAAATGCCCTATAAGCACTGACTCTGTAGGTGGTCCAGGGCTGGAGTACCTACAGAAAAAAATTAGTGGGTGCCTAGCACCCACCACTAACCAAGCTTTCCCCCCCCCCTTCCCAGTGCTTCCTGACCACTGCAATCAGCTGTTTCATTGAGGACAAGCAGCACTGGGAAGTAGGGGGAAGAGTGGGAATGGGGCACACTCTTGGGCAAAGGCAGAAAGAAGCAGGGAAGAGAAAGAGGTTGAGCCCCTCTGGGCCCAGAGGAAGCTGGTGCCTATGGAATGCCAGACCTTGACTGATCTGTGAGTCCTTGGACAAAGTGTCTCACATGTATGACCCAGGGACAGAACTCCCTGGACTTCAGAGCAATTACTGAGGAACCCAGGAAGCTGAGTAGCAGATACTGCCTCCTCAGCCTTCCTGAAACCTGCATGGGGCATAGCAAAATCTCAGGTTCTTCTTCGGGAAGAGATGCTGTCATGCTGCAGCTTTTCCCAGGCAGCTGGGTTCTGAGGAAAGGAAAGGAGCAGCTCAACTGCTCCTCCAGGCAAGTTGGGGAGCTCAGGATTCCTCCTGGCAGTTGGGAAGGGTGCTCAGCCAGGAATACTTCTTGTCAGATAAGTCCAAATAATCTTTCTCGACTCATCATCCCAGTTCAAGTCTCCTTTCTTGGGTTTCTAGTCTGATCTCAGTGTCCCCAGCTCCCAGTTGCAGGCTCCTTAGCCAGCCAGTCCTAGTGCCTTCCCACCCAGCCCTCAGTCTTCATTTTCTTCTCTGCCCACTGCCAACCTTCATTCCCAGTCTCCCCCCCATATGCTTTATCCCAGAATACTCCACCTGTAGTCCATTTTTTGTCTTCTCTGCATTCAGTTCAGGCAGGTTCCTTCTTCACACTGAATGGTGTCAGCAGTAGGTGCATTGAAAGCACATGAGAGTCAGACTATCTGCTCCAGTGCCTGGACTCAAATACAGCCCAGCCTGCAGTCACCTATAGTCACACGTATAGTTGCAGGATGAGGATCATCCTGCTTATGTTAATTTATTCCCAGACTGGAGCATCTGCCATTTTTCAAGTTCTTGATTCAGAGCATGGGAATGTTACAGCTTTTCAAAGAAAAGGTCACCAGAATTTTTGAACATGGACAAAAACTCTGCATATTTTCCTAGCCTCACTCTCCAAAACAATTGAATTGTTTTCTCTGAAATTTTCAAAAGATATTCAGCCTGAGTCAGACACACAGAATGGAAAATTTCATCCCAAACAGTTAAAGTTTGGCAGTTATAAGCAACTGAAAACAGGGTCTTGTAATTGTAAGAGCTAGGACCACTAAATTTGGTATGCAGCATCCTCGTCTCCTAACTTAAAGCAAGGTCAGGGTTTGGTTGAGCCAGGATGACTGGAAGCCCTGGGAAAAGGATTGTTTTCCATAACATGCAAAGGGAGGGGCTGCTTTTTGGAGAGACGTGATATTGAGAGTGGCCACTAGGAGCAGTGAGCCCACAAGGGAGAGCTATACGCAGAGGCTGTGTCTACATTGGCCCCTATTCCGTAATAGGGATGCTAATGTAGCACTTTGGAATAGGCAAATCCGCGGGGGATTTAAATACCCCCCGCGGCATTTGCATTAACATGCCTGCCGCTTTTTTCCGGCTTGTAGATAAGCCGGAGAAAAGCGCCAGTCTGGACGCGATCCTCCAGAAAATAAGTTCTTTTCCGGAAGATCTCTTATTCCTACTTGAAAGTAGGAATAAGAGATCCTCCGGAAAAGAGCTTATTTTCCAGAGGATCGCGTCCAGACTGGCGCTTTTCTCCGGCTTATCTACAAGCCGGAAAAAAGCGGCAGGCATGTTAATGCAAATGCCGCGGGGGATATTTAAATCCCCCGCGGATTTGCCTATTCCAAAGTGCTACATTTGCATCCCTATTACGGAATAGGGGCCAATGTGGACACAGCCAGAGTGTTCTCTGACCCTAAGCTATACCACCAAGAGAGTGGCCAGCAGGGCCGGGGCTTCTCCATCTTGCCTGCCAGCACACGGAGTAAGTAACCTTCCTACCCCAAATCCTTCCCCCCACTTTCCAGCACTTGGCCACAGCACTGGCTTTTGGGGGGCGCTTGGGGACAGAGAGAAGGCCTGTGCCAGATGAGCCCCTCCTTACCCTCAGCCCTCACTCTCATACCCACCTGCCCCCAACCTCCTTCATTCCCCCCCCACACACACACACACAAATCCCCAAGGCCCTGCAATGACTCCTGCACCCCCCATTTTGTTAGCCCCCTAACCTGAAGGACCCTGGCAACTCCGGGTAAGTCTGCTAATATATAGTTAAAATAATAGAAGGGTATTAAGCAAAACAATTACCAGAAAAACTGACTATTCTTGTCTTTTAAACTGTCCCATTCTATGAGTGCACAGGGATCATTCAATTAAGCCAATGGAAATTTCATTTAAAATAAATCTTTAAAAATACTATTTAACAGATCATACAATTCATCTTATTCGGCTTCATTTTAAAACTTGTAGGATAATTGTGTGATGAATAATAATTACACATCCTGGTGTATGCTTCATGCTTCAGGACTTTAGTTGCCCCCAGGAAACAGGAAAGAATCTTTACCATTATTTACAGCCTTTTACATCTAGCTAGAAGTATTTTTTATCTTGTTTTGTTTTGTCTCTTTAAATCATTGAGTATTAGTCATGCTTAGATAATGAAGTATATGGACCAATGGTCTAATCCAGTACACCAGCTAAGGACAGCAGGTTCTTACATTTTATTTACTCAAGCAAAAGACTCATTGAAATCAAAGGAGATGCTCCTTACTTACCAGATATAGGTATAGATATAAATATGGGTAGAATCTGGCTCTAACATATTTGCAAAAGAATCCTGTACAGTATGTTAATTTGGATAAGTTTTGTGAGGTTTATTGCTGTGGTGCTCTGCATGTATGCGTGCACATATACAAATATCCTGGCTTTTAGCTAAGCTGCATATTCAGAACAGGGGAAGGGACCAAGGACATTTGGCTCTAGTAGAATAAAGACACTGACTGTCACTATTAGTAGGGGTCCAACTTCTAGTAGCCAGTGGTGCACATACTAGGCAATAGATTACAATTAAGTAATTCTTATATGTATTTTTACTCTTTAAATTGATTTTTTTTTTTTTTTTTAGGAAAATTGATAAATCATAAGAAAGCTGTGAGCCATTTTGGATCTTTTTCAGCCACTTTAGAAAATGGAATCCACCTGTCCTTGAGCTACTATGGAGCTACAGGAAAAGCAGCAGGTAAGAGGATGAGGCTATTTGGGAGCCCAGACTGGGTGTTCTTATTTCTTTCGTATACCGTGTAGCTCCATAATCTGTTACATCCAGCCCTGACTTTTTTTAACAACCACATAGTGGGGAATTTTCACTAGGATTTGAGCTGTGGTTACACTATCAAGAATATCTTACGATTCAAATTTCAGAATGGAAGGAAGTCTCTGCAATTTTTTACTTCTGCGAAAACAAACTAGTTTAGTGAGAAAATTCCAAGTATTTCTATTAACTAGCTTACTAAAATCAATGAACTAGTTTAAAAAGCCAAAGGAAAATGTGATTTGCTAAGGAATCTTCTTGGTTTTCCAAGGAATAATATTTATGACTGCTTCATAAACCACAAAGAAAATACCAAGCGCTAAGAAGAAATTCTTTTTGGTTCTGCTTCATTTAAGAGTTCACTTAAAGTATTATGCACCTGAAAGTAAAATCCTCTTGCGATCAGAAAATAATTTCAACATTTTTCATCCCTTAAATTATGAAAACATTTTATCAGATGTTTCTCCATGTGAGTTTTGGTAAACCATTTGTTCAACTGGACATTAGTTTCAATTCTTCAAAGACATTTTCCCCATAAATTGCTAAAAAACTACTTTTTATATTGTGTTAAAATATTATCCACACTATCGTGGGCTGTAAAAACTCACATTACAGGTTTAAAAAACAGAGGAGCCTCTTTTAAACTATTAAATATCCTTTTGTACAACTTAGATTGTTTTACAGCAGCCATTCCCAATCATAAGTCTGCATGCCACTTCTGGTATTCAAGCTTCTGTGACACACAAGTTCTCCTCTCTACTCTAATGATAAGCCTCCTTGCTGAGGCCAGGTCTACGGTAAAGGGGAACGTCAAATCAAGATACGCAACTCCAGCTTCGTTAATTATGTAGCTGGAGTCTACATACCTTGGGTGACGAGGCTCTGCAGCCCCACACTTCAGGTCCCCCGGTGCCAGCCATGTATGGGGCACGGTGGGACACAGGGAGAGTAGGCGTGTTGCGTCTGCATGCCACGCCAGGTTGAACACAGCCACGCCACATTTTAAATCTTCCAACCCTGGCCAAGTGGGGGTGGGAGCAGGGCACAGACGGAGTATGCAGCTGGGAAGGGAGGCACCCAGGCATGACACAACACCAGGGTGCCAGGATTCAAAAGGAGCCAGCGTTCATGGCAAAGGAAGGAGCCAGACCAGCGAAGGGGTAGGGGCACCGTGGGAGTTGCACCTCCCAGGAGACCCCCGGGGCACTACAGGTGTGGCGTGGCACCAGGTAAGGGGAGAGGAAGCAGCCCAGGGCAGGGTGTTATTGCCCGCAGGGTGGCGCGTTACGGTGGGAAACCCCACCAGCCGGACCAGACCTAAACAGGTCTGCATCCTTAGGGCCCTGGGCTGGGGTCTGTAAGTGAGGGCGAGGCCGGACCCCCCTCTCCCTGCTGTCAAAGGCGGTGCAAGAAACCCTGGGCACATTTGGAGTCAGGCAGACCCGCGGAGCGGAATACGATAGATAGGACTAATACAAGGAGACTTGGTCTGGGTCGGACTCTTGTACCCGCTTGGGGGTGGGGGGTGACAATTAAACAAAGGCACGAGTGGGCTAACCAGGGTCTGCATGTGTACACCTTGTTTCGAGTTTCCCTGCCATCCCCACAGCAGAAGTAATGGCCAACAGCAGAGGCACCCTCTGAGTTCGATTTAGCAAGTCTAATTAAGACCCTGGGCTACATTGAACCATGGACTTAGACTTGCCAAATCGAACCCCGGAAGGTCGATGGTGGCAGCATAGATCTTCTGTTTAGTGACGACGTGGCCTAAGGATACCACTGTTGTCTGCCGTCCTTTCATGAGTGGAACTAGGACTGACCAATACCCCAGTCTAATAATCACAAGAGCATCCCAGACTCTCTTCATATCAGGATAAAGTGTGGTGTGACTGGAATTTTTGTATGGGAGGTAGGGCACTAAATAACATATCTGGTCATTAGTCTGGCTCGTCTGATGGTTTAGCCTAGTAAACTGGAATGGTTGCTCCACTGGTTGAGAACTACTATTTTATTGCCTAATCATGTTCCTTCTGAAGTTTAACCATTGACCCCAGTAGCAGCAGGATCAGGTCTTTACATAGCATAGGGTCAGAGATGCAGAAAAGACAAAGGTAAAGTTAATATAGTTAATAGAGCTTTACAGTAAGTTTCATTTCTTACTTAGAGTGCTGATTCCAACATATTCTGGGTACTGACTCCCAGTGCTAGGGCATGTCTCAGTCCTTGGACTTTAAGCCATGCACCAGTTGCAAAACATCAATGTCAGCTCGTGACCCTTATACCAGTGTCTGAAATGCCATGAGTGTGATGGGTTGTCACTCCTGGGGTGCAGTCTGGGAGCTGTAGGAACTCCTGAAACACAATTGGATTGGGGGGACAACTAGCCTTCCCAGACCCCTGTTATCATCCAACATGACAGTAGGTGGCACTATTCACTCAGACTGGATTACCTGGTGCAACCAGCAGACACCAGCCAATTTTCTAATTCCCTAGTCATGCAGCCCACTCTCTGGAATATAAACTCTAAATTATGCCATCTTGTGTTGCACAGGGAACAGTACAGCATCAGCTCATTGAGTTCATCTCTCCCTCAGAGTTGAGAGGAACTATAACAGCCCCTACCCCTTCAGCTAAGATTCCAAAGCACTTCACTCCAATCTTACTGGTTTAGATTAAGTTTATTAACAACAAAAGGATAGATTATAAGTGATAGCAAACAGATCAAAGCAGATTGCCTAGTAAATAAACAAATCGGCAAACAAAGCCTAAGATGCTAAAAATATTGGATGTGTATCAGCAGTTTCTTACCCTCACTGATGATACAAGCAGATGATTCTCAAGGCACAAAGCACAATCTGCACTTGGTTTGCAGCTTGCGATCCCTTCCCCCTTTCCAAGTCCTGTTTCCTTAGGATCGTAGGTTTTGACTTGTGGGGAAGTGAAGAACAACAGATGATGTCACTTCCTGCCTTATATAGCTTTAAAATATGATGGGAACCCATTTCAGACTTTGTTACCAGACCAGTTTGTGGGAAAACAGACACCCCAAAATGGAGTCCAGAATCATGTGGTATGGTCACATGCCCTTGCAAAGTTATAGCAGCCATTACTTACACACTGGCCAAAACATCCACAGGAAGGATCACCAGGTGGAGGATAAACTCCTAAGGCCTTTTGTTTTCCCTAATGGCCCATTACCCTGAATGAGCACTTCACAAACAGCTGTGTGGACTGGAAACATCTTGCCTAGTGGGTGTCACCCAGGTGTGACTGCTTGTGAAATATAGCTATAGTCAATATTCATAAGGTCAAATACAAAAATGACAGTAGAATGACCAAGGTTCCTTCTTCCCCTCAGGTGAGAGGTGAACACACACATAGCACCTCTGAACCCTGGTTCCCCAATGACTAAAGACAACCACTATGAGTGGGTGTGGTGAGGGAGAAGAGAGGGACACTTAAAAGAACTTTTAGTTACTGGACTTAAGAACCTGAGGCAAAAAGACAGTTGCTCTGGGCCTATAGTTTTATATTTATAAACCCTACTTCTGGGGTTTCCCAAATTAATGCTCGGTGACTTATTTCCTTTTATTAAAAGTTTCTGACTCTGTGTTTGTGAGAGGGGAAATATTGCCTCTTAGTGGCATCCAACAGGTGGTATGTAATTTCCCCAAGTTACTGGGTGAGGGCTCCAGCCAGTTTCATGTTACGCTGTTGGAAAGGAATCCCTAGATATTGAACCCAGCTCATGTTGCTGCCAACTCTGGCAGAAGGGTTACACCTGCCTGGGCTTCACTACGGCCTCATTTATAAGCAAAGCCACATGAGAAGGTGCTGCAGCCACCAACAGAGCCACCAGCCAGTGTGAGGATTCTTGCTCCATCTCAACCTGGATGTCTGGAGAGGAAGAAAATCTCTTTATTAGGCCCTGGTATACCCTCTGATCATACTGAAGAGGGGAAGACACTCCAGACATCACCACTTGCTCTGGCAGGTGTTTTCCCAAAGTAATGCTGGATTACTTCCCTCCTTTTAATAAAAGTTTCTTGGATAACTCAGACTACTTGAATTGTCTGGATGAGAAATACTCCCCCAATAGATGTTGCATGTGTGTGGTTGTAGGATTTACCCTTGGGCTTTCTTCAAACAGAGATTCAATTTATTTATTTATTGTATTATGCTGTTTCCAAAAAGGCAAATATCATTCTATGATGTATTAACAGAAGTGTCATATGTAGGACATGGGAGGTAATAGTCCCACTCTAGTTAATGCTTGTGAGGTGTCTGCTGGAGCACTGTAACCAATTTTGGGTACCACATTTTAAGAACAATGTGGACAAATTGAAGAGAGCAGGAGAGCTACAAAAATAAGAGGTTTAGAAATATATTGTTTACCCCTTCTCTAGGAGAAAATGTTGAAAGAACTGAGCATGTGTAGTCGATAGCAGGGGTGGGGAACCTATTTTGGGTCAGGAGCCCCTGACCCAGATAAAAATCAATTGGGGAATGCACACAAGTGAGAAGAAAAAAACCCACCAAACCCTCACCGATGTGGCCCCATGATGTAGTCTAACTTCTCTTTTCCCAGATACTATTCAGAACATGTCCATGAGAACATAAATAGTTCTCAGGTGAAGCAAAGTGAGTGGAAACCGGTCTTTCCCATACAATGTATATTGATAGACTCCTAGTCGAAGGTATGGATCACACCACTCTTAACCCTTTTTATGGTTAGAGTAGACCATAGAAGAGGTTGCATTTATTATCATGCACCAAGCCCCTGGACCTGAGGTCTCTGGTGTTCTATTTTTTGAAAGGTAAAACTTGGTAACTGAACTTTGGTCAAACAAAACTTGAAACATGTATATATGTGTCTGTAGTCTAGTGCATAAAAATGTTGCTTTTCCTCTCCAGATGATACAGACCCTAACTTAGCAACAATTCTGAATATCCCCTCCATACATATTCCAACTGTTGCTCCAGTTCCTGTTGCTGCTTCCGTTTCCTCAGGAAAAAGCAACAAGTCACTGAAACAAAAATCAGCAAAAGCTCTACAGTCTTCCAAAGGGAGCCATATTAGATTAATCAATTCACCACCAGAAGAGTCTGCAAAGCAAGAAGAGAAAAAGGTGAGAGAATATTCTCCAATAAGTACTAATTTTACCTTCTAGTGTGGTCATAAGCCACAAATTGATGTAAATTGGTTGAATGACTCAGCAGAAAAGACAATCACAGCCAGAACATAAGAACAGCCATACTGGGTCAGGCCCAAAGGTCCATCTACTCAGTATCCTGTCTTCTTACAGTGTCCAGTGCCTGGTGCCAGTGATTGTTTAAGACAAAGTGAAAACAATTTACTTTATCAGAAATGTTAGCCAGTCATCTTAGGAGGCCACAGGAAAAGTAACTTTTTGTGATCTCAGAGGCTTGGCAATTTATTGACACCATTATTAGAATTGGTTAAAAACAAGGGAAAAGGGAAAAATTGTAAAGATTATTCTAATCTTTTGTAATTATTTTCCCTTTTTTTCAGAATTTTGAAATTCAAAAATGTTTGACCAGCTCTGTGAGGGTATGTCTACACTACAAAGTTAGTTCAAACTAACAAATGTTAGTTCGAACTAACTTTCATAGGCGCTACACTAGCGCTCCGTTAGTTCGAATTTAATTCGAACTAATGGAGCGCTTAGTTCGAACTAGGTAATCCTCATTCCACGAGGATTAAGCCTAGTTCGAACTAGCTAGTTCGAATTAAGGGGTGTGTAGCCCCCTAATTCGAACTAGTGGGAGGCTAGCCCTCCCCAGGTTTCCCTGGTGGCCACTCTGGCCAACACCAGGGAAACTCGTCTGCCCCCCTCCCGGCCCCGGACCCCTTAAAGGGACACGGGCTGGCTATGGTGCCCATGCCAGGTGCAAGCCTGCCAGCACCCAGCCAGCAGACCCTGCACCTGGCACGGATCGAGCCAGCCACCCGATGCCCCCCAACCCTCCCCCTCTTCCCAGGACCAGGCTGGCGGCTCCCGGGAGCTTGCCCGGGACCGCAAGAGG